TTTTGGATAGAGTGAGAACATTCTAGGCAAGAAAATAAACTGCCCCAAGACCAGTCTAGTCAATGCATAAACAAAGTTTTTTTTTTTTTTTTTTTTTTAAGAAACACACAGTTCCTCTCATTTTGACACACTCTATTTCAGTATTTGAAATGAGACTTCAGATTTAATCGTTGGAGTAGTAAAGATCTCACCTATGCCTTCACAAGTTTTTGTTAGATGAAGAGTGCTTGAAATTTACCTGATTTAGGCTGACTACACTCGTGGTCACTGTTCGAGATGAACAGTGCAAGCGGTGGAAAACTGTTTGCATTGAGGACACACAAAGAATGCTTACATCATCTTACCAATTCATTATTTCGCAGCTGGTGTTTTCAACATCGTCTTTCTCGTCTTTCTGGACTAACGAAATAACTCAGTATGGATGGACAATCACAGGCTGCTGTCAGGGAGGAGGACACTCAGGATGAAGCCGGTCCTAGCAGGCCAAAAAGAAGCAAAACCAATCCCAAGAATCTGGAGGTATGTATGGCTTCATTTCATTTTACTGCCTATTTTAAAATGTGATGTACTAGGGGATAAACTACTTGAATTGTGTTTTTTGTTCGTAGAAATGTAAAGGGGCGTCACCAGCTGGGGCGGGTAAAAGGGGGGGGGGGATTTACCCCCCAATATTTTTTAAAGACTGCCCTTTCCATTTTAATCCCCTATTTAAACAAGCGCTCCCCCACTGTTTTTGTAAGTGCCTTTTTTAAGAAGTCCTTTTTTTATTATCAGCGTTCTGTCACGAGTGCCCTTCTTTTTAGTTGTGCGCGACCGTCGGCGGCGTAGTCAGGGTTTTCAAGGGAGCGAAGGGGGGGGGGGGAGGATGTTACAGTGGAGGGGTGCCCAATTTCACCCGTGGTTGAAAGGTTGACAGGGCTTTTTTTTCACCGGACACCCGGCCTCCGTACATTCAAAAGTTGGAGGGGGAACGGGCAAGTGAAGAGCATATGGATAAACTATTTACATTTTGGAAAGTCATGTAGGCATACACTCGCAAAAAGTGCTGGGTCAAATTATGACCCGGAATCGGGCCCTATGGAGCGTGACACTTTCCCGGCTCAAAGTGACACTTTTCCCGGTCAAAATTAAACTCCTTTGACTCATTTTTTGGGTTATCTGACCTGGAAACTTGTCAGATCTCATAGGACCGGACTTCGGATAATTTAACGGTAGCATATCTAGGGAGTAATGGGGAGGTCTTAATGACTTTAAGCATAACCCAGTTTTCTCAAATAATTAAAAGAAAATCTCAATCTGGATCAAACAGCGAATACAAAGACTCATAAAGAATTTGCCAAGAGAAAACAAAATCTTTGCCGAAGAAACAAAAATGCCATTGGATAAAATTGTAAGAGAATAAAAGAAAACCAAGGTATTAAAAGGCGGGAAAGGGAAAAAACAGGCGAAAATCCACACTGCACAATTGCAAATCACACTTAAAAGTACAAAAACAAAAACGGAGCAGACACTTGTGGAAATGAAAAGTACATGCAATGTAGCAAAGATGCTAAGGGCTTACTTATGTGTGTGTCTTGTCTGAGTGCTGCTTGTCTGCTGCATAAAACTACATGTGGCTTGACCATGTAGCAACGGTTTAAGGAGGGACTTGTTGTCTGACATAACACATTACCAAGACTGGAAGAGACACATCTCAACTAAAACTAAAATGATTTTCTTTTTATCAAGGGCAGCTTCTCTACTGACTCAGGTATCTCAACACACTGACTCAGGTATCAAACCATTTTGAGGTCTTATCTGATTAGTTTTTGAACTGCCTGATTAGAAGGCCAAAGAACAACATAACTATTTGTTTGTTTACACTAACTTCCTGCAAATTGATCGCAATAGGGGACTATAATATTGTACACAAAAAGATGCAGGTATAAATGGTTTAATGTTGAGGTCTTTTATCGCCCGTGTTGGTCTGTATAGTGCTAAATTTGTTGATTTTAGAGGTTTTTATAAGGCGCTCTTATGGTCGACCTGCGATTTGCTTCAGTTTTGTGCTGAGGTCACACAACTGATATGAGAAATTGCGTGATTCTCGTGGAACATGTAGTTAGCATAGCCACACTACGAACGTCTCATAATCCGAGCATGCAATTGTATGTTACCCCGTTCGCCAGCCATTCGGAGTCAATTAGAAACTGGGACGTCATTTTGAGCAGAAATGCGGACTGAGCTGTTGATTGGTCAGTTTGGCTGTCATGTTTTAGCTATACAACAACAGGTTACGGAATACCCGATAGAAGGCGCTTGCTGAATGGTCAGAATCTGGAGGTCAAGATGCAGTCTTAATGTCAGTTTGCATAATTCTTGGCCGAATAAGCGTATATCACCGATTGATACTCATCGTCGACCTGAGGGCTGCTTATTAACAGCAGTTTGATATCGTTCTACACAATCATTCGGTTTATTTAGCACTTACTGTAAAAAAAAAAAAAAAAAATCAAAATACAGTTTACTTTTTTTGCGTCAAATTATTGGCAGCTGAACTGTGAGGTTGGCAAGTTGGAAGCAAACAATCCTGGTTTTATATTTTGCCTAATGGGGCGCAGATTATCGATATTTTTTTTTTGCAGATCCATGTTTAGATGACAAAACTCTGTCCAAGGTCGCTACGATGCTTGCTGGTAAATGGGTAACACTAGCAGTTGAGGAGCTGGGCTTCACCATGCCACAGTTGAGACTATCGAGAAAAATCATGAAAAAGATCTCAAAAGGCAAGGTCTGGAAATGCTTGTAACATGGAAACAGCGCCAGTCCACCAGTGTTAACAGCAGAAGAACCACGCTGTGCACAGCATTGAAGAAGATCGGAAGAGCAGATATTGCAGAATTTCTTCGTCGCGGTAAATTCATGTTTATTGTATGTGTAATGTGAAGAGAAATTTAATGATTGACGTTACTTTCAGATATTGAATTTATGTGTTCAGTAATATTGCTAAAAAAAAAAAAAGTAAGGTATTTGCTCTGGGTTGCATGTCTATGATTGTATGTTCTAATGTCATGGAACCGCAACAAATTATTTAATGCAAACTTGTTTTCTTCTTTAAAAAAAAAGCAACGAAGGATTTAAAGCAACTTCGGAATCGATGGCGTATTTTTCACATATTTTTTTTTATTTCACTTGGTAGATGTCCACAATCTAGGATAGGGGACCACTGAATCAGGTGTTAATTTATTATTTCGTCACTGCTAAAGAACTCCCTGAAAGCAGCAACAACCTTAAAGTTGAGTTTCCTGTGCTCAACAAATTTTTCAACCTTTCACCACTATGTTTATTCCAAAAAACTCGCTTCTCCCCTCTGTGGACAATGGTAATCCTCTAAACAATAAACTTTTTTTTTTTGGGTACAAACAGATCCGCTTTGGGAGCAGACTGGCTCCCGGTCCGTTCACTATCGTTTCTGATTGTGGGGCGGCAATCAGCTTTACCCCACACCATTTAGACCAGTATTTATTGTCTTGAACCAATCATTCTAAATTGTAAAGTAATAATTCAATAACTAAAAATGGACTGATTTTGTCGGTCGATGTCTAGTTCAAAAGTGAATATCTTTTATATTGCTAGTAAAATAACAATTTATTTGAAACGGAATCTGTTTGCCCGTGAATATACTCGAAACAAGCGTGGGGGAACACAGCTTTAACTAAACCTGGGATGGTTATGCATTTACAACGACAATAATATAAGCATATTGTTTGTGAGACTCTCATTTTGTAGAAACGGGATCGAATGCCGAAGAAAAATAAGAGTACAACTTATCTTAACATTCATCTGTCACCGAATGAACTTATAATTTCAATTGCACGATAATGAAACATTCATTGTTTGTTTTATATACAACGCCTAAATGAATCCTCGTCTTCAGACTGTTAATTGTAACTGCTGCTAACACACGCTCAATGTTTCAGCATCAGAGCTGTGTTATAACGCAACAAGAGTGTGACCGTGCATTGGACGATTTACGGTGGAATTGAACTTCTATTTTTTTTCGACACGATCACGCTGTCCGTTGGGACGAATTATTCAATGACTCGTGACCAACGACCCACCAATCAGATGACGGGGATTTGCTCAGGAATTGTATACTCAACATATCTTTCGATCGACGGGTTGTGATTTCTGTGTTTGTTTTGATATCGAATGTTTTCTAATGTCCCTTCTAACAAATCGAAAGATCAAACAAAATCTTTTTGTTATGTTTCTCATACTGCATTAGGTATGTCACATGCCCAGGAGACCGCTAAATCAGGTATGTATTGGTGAATTTGGCGCCCCTTAAGTTATCAATGCATCACAATGCTGGAAAACGGTTTCTGCAATGTGGTGGCTTTCTAATAATAATAATATTCAAAATTCATAATATATACTAGGAGGTTTTGCAGCGTTACCGCTGTGAGGTAAAGCTCAGCCAGTGTTACTTAACATTGATGCTTAGTGTGTCAATGATATGAAATATTTGTAGCAAATGTCCAGTCCGCTGAGATGTATAAATCTATAACACATCCCTTTTTGATAAAAACAACATTGTTCATACTTTCCTGGCGACTAAGCTAAGGGCGCTCTTCCTTGATATTACTTAAAGGACACTGGAACCAAAACGCTCTTGAAATGACAATATGAAGAATATTAAAAAAGCAAGTTAAATCGGACACAGATGTTAATTTCAAGCAATGAGTTTGAAGAGTTTTATTACATGGGCCCTTTAATGTCTCTTGAAAGTTCAGAGTGCAAAGAAATGCAATCAAATTCACGCGAGGTGCTGACTTTGCTGGATACACACCCGTACCCCCGTAAAGGTCCTGGGTCGGTTTCGACTCTGATTCTGAATCAGATTTGACCTAACAATTTTCAGGGTCAAAATGACATTTTCATGGGTTCACTTTTCTAGGCCATTTTGAAAGTGTCATTTTGCACAAGAAAATATTTTCATCTTGACAAATAGTATGTCAGGTCGTATCTAACCAGATTTTGTTTTTTTAGAGTGCACGAAGCTTCTAGCAAGAACGGTTTGGGAGAAAGATAAATTCACAGCACCTGCGTCGCCAGATCACTTTTTGAGGAGGGGGGGGGGGGTTGAAGACTAAATTTGCAGCAAACCACTCGGTGCTGGTAGGTAGCCAGAACTGTTCCACGACAAAATTGAAAGTACGGTGGCTTGACAGCCTCTGAGTTACTTGGCTTGCTGTTAAAAAAAACAAGAGAAATCACTAACAATATTATCGACAGGACCATTTTTCCGAACAAAACAATTGGGGGGGGGGCCACCCCAACGCCCCCTGATTAAAAGTCATTTAAATATATTTATGTCAAATGCATTATATTTCATGAGTCATAATCATGGAATATATTGTGGCCTTATGCATTTTTAATATGGACACCTCTCACTTGTCCATAGGTCCTGATCATCTAAAGATTTGCCAGCAGCTGCTTTTCAGTTTCTACGAAGCCCATGCAAGTAAAATCCCAGAGCTCGTGTCTTCTTCCGTGTTACCGGCGTTGGGTGTTGATGAGTTTCTATATTCATTTAAATCTCCTTAAGAGTGGTCAGCAAACAACACGTGAAGACGTGAAAATGTATGAGAAAACTAAGATTTTGAATAGACCCAAAACACAGAGCAACTGGACACATGGGAGGATATGTATGATGAAAAGAAGGTAGGGGAGAAAATGGTTCTTCTTTCAGGTGGGGCTGGATTCGGCAAATCGACTCTATGTGTGTGACGATAGCGAATACTTGGAAGAAACGTAAAGAGTCAAAAGTTGCCAAATTACGTAAAGGGTCAAAAGTCGCCAAATTACGTAAAGTGTCAAAAGTTGCCAAATTACGTAAAGGGTCAAACGTTGCCAAATTCGAGCTCCTGTTCTTGTTGAAGTTGAGTCAATTCAAGACAAGTTGTGTCATAGATGAAATTTTTGATCAGTTGTTGCAGCGCACTGACAAACTGACCAAGTCAGATGTGAAAAAGGTTATCAGTGACAACGAAGATAAGGTCGCATTCTTGATGGATGGGTTGGATGAAATACCGAGCCACATTTTACAATCTACCGAGGGTGTATATACAATCAATGATTTGTTGACAAACAAGGTATTGCTCAAAGCTGTGTGTTGGTGACAACACGGCCAGACATGGTTCGACTATGTCATTAGGGCTTCGAAGGTTACGCTAGGGTTGAAACGAAAGGCTTTACAGTCGATAACAGAGATAGTTTATCAAAGCACACTTTCCAACAATATATCGCATCCGGAGAAGACTTAATTTCGTGGTTGAAATCACACCACTCTCTCCAGGAATTGTCACTGAGTCCAATCATTGCATGTATGCTATGTGTGCTTTGGCCGAACAGACCTGACCCATCATTACCATTGCCAGACAAGTTAACAACTGTGTACACTGAATTTGCAGAAGTTCTTGTTGAACGCCGCTTTAGCTCACTCAGTGATGCTGATAAGCAGCAAGTAATGAACAAATCTTGAAGGGATCGGGACAAGTTGCATTCGAAGGGCTTCTAGATGGAGAAAGACTTCATTTCTCCCAGAAGAGTTCAGTAGGGACAATCTGTCTTGAAGGACGGTTGTCAAATGGGTATCTTGCAGAGAGAAACTGTCTCGAGCGGTCTGAAGAGTGTTGAAGTTGTCACTTTTCTTCATAAGTCCCACCTAGAATACTGCGCGGCACACTACCTTATCAGTTTGCTAGATAGTGATGAACAGAGCTTCCGTCGATGTATTGATAAAATCATCATAGCACTCGGTGTTTCGAAAGTAGAATATGTGCTTCGATTTTGCTGCGGTTTATCAAAACAGGCTGCTGCCCTCATCCTGAGCCGTGTAGGACACGGTGACGACAATGTTGCACGATTGTGTTTGTTTGAGTCTGGTTCAAAAAGGCTAGCATCTAAACTATGGCCTCCAAGTAAAATTTTCTGCTACGGCCAACAGGACTTAGTAGCACTGCACTATTACCTTACAGAGTCTGGTATTAAACTAAATGGACAGCCTTCAAAATCAAGTGCAATTCATGTGCCGACCTGCGAGTTTTTGGAGATATTGTTCGATGTTGCAAAAGTGACATTCGGAGTATGACCATCGATTGTGTCCTGCAGGATCAAGGTAATGAGATGTTGCGGCTACTTGCGAAACACTTCAAGCAGCGGATAGGGCATTGCTAAACAAGAAATTGTTAGGTATAAGAGGTTTCCATTCGTGATGGTGAAAATGTTGATGCTAAGCGTCTAGCAGAGTGTATTTCCCATTTACCAAATCAATTATGGACGGTCCATGTACCCTACATATCGCATGATGACACTGCGCATTAGCGGATGCACTGAAAGGATGCCAGTTACATTTCTTTACATCGCTGCGCGTCAACATGCACAGTCACGTTGCTAGATTGGGTCCTCTTGTTACACCATCCTTGAGGTCCTTGGCGTTAAGTTTCTGTAGACTGGATGATACTGATGTTGAGGGCGTTGTCAGCCTCCTCCCTAACGGGCATGGTTTGACCAACATTCTTCTTGATAAAAATGCATTCATTTTGAAGGCAGTGAAGACACTAGCAGGTCATTGTCGGGCTCTTTCTAACCTGACCTGTTTGGTATTTAGATTATTTGATGATGATGATGTCGAGGAAGTGTTGGAGCAATATCTTCCACAACTGAAACACAATTCTGAAAAAAGTATGGAGGGTAATTTTATCTGCAACTCATATCAGGAGGTACAACAGCTCAAACAAAATCTTGGCGTGGCTGATCTGTCCGGAGGGATATATATATACTACACCATGTCGGAGCGCTGGAGAGAAGAGCTAGAACTGCTTGAGGAAACATTCCGATCATTAGACGAACGGCTCCTCGGTCAAATGGAGCTCATATTAATGGTTGATGTTCTGAGTGTCGTTGATATCGAGTGGCTTGCAGGATGCATGAGCCATCGTTACACTCAAGTTGAGAGGTTAAGCCTCCAGGTGTTATCCCTATCACCATCATATGTCACTGGCCTACTAAATGCACTGACTGAGGGATGCAGTTTAAGCAGTCTTGAAGTATGTGGAACCAACATGCACGGTCATGTGAGGGATTTGGCTTCACTTGTTACTCCATCCTTGGAGAGGTTGACATTAGAAGACTGTGACCTGGATGATGATGACATGACAGACTTGACTCGCATACTTTCTGCTGCGCAGTATTTGGAATCACTGGATGTTTCAGGCAACAGTTTCAGTTTGAGAGCAGTGAAGGCTCTTACTATCTATCTCCAAAGTTTCCAGTACCTGCACTATTTGGAGCTTGGAACGACGATCTCGATTGCAATCTTGTAAAACGGGTTGTTAAAGAAAATCTTCCAAATGTCAAGATAGAATCTTGAAGATTCTATGAAACAAAGGTCTTGACAACAACTAGCTCAAATAAAAATCACTTTTAGTTGGTTGGTTAAATGTAAGCTTCCAAACGTAACAAAATCAATATGATCACCGAATCAAATCATAAATTCGAACCAAAATAGTGATTTGTTTCTTCAGAAAAAAAGCTTTTTCTGTAAGAAAAAAACCCAAGATCGAACTAGTCTACACACATTATAATTACATTAATATCAGTGATAGGCGATCGTAAAAATGAGAAACACACAGCATCTTATGTTTGAAAGTTGGAAATTATCTAAGCGTATAAAAAAGGAGGAAATTCAATTTTGTATTCAGTCTCTGCTATTGCTTACATTGACAAAATGGAGCCGTGATGTCCTCTTTGATGATAGATGCGTGATTTGCAGGGACAGTATTTTTCAGAGTATTTTTTCGTCCTTGGTTTTGAAGCAGTTGTTTTCTCATCTACATTTGCACTTGTGTTTACTGTGTCGGAGTTTTTGTATGGTTCCTTTTTTAACAATTGGAAGGCTCATGCTTGATTCCCATCGAAGCTTAAAGTCACAACAAACCAATTGCGCCAGAAAAACTAAAAATGTTTCCACACAAGTGTTGACTGAAATGTTTTGAATCCTCCGAAAAATGTTTTCCTGTATTATATAAACTATCGAAGCCAAATGCATCATGCATGTGATGTGAACACCCAAGACATGAACGCCCCCCAGTCGCCCCCCCCCCCCCCACTCCACTGAGATTTTGAGTTTCTAAAAAAAATATCATTGATCTACATGACGCCCCCATGTAATGTTCCAGCCCCCCAGCGCCCCCCAACACTGAAAAATTCCTGGCTACGCCACTGATGAACGCAAAGTTCGTGACATATTTTCGTTGAAAGTTTCTTGTTTGGTTCTAAACATTTATGCCATGTGTCAGCATTATCAATGTCAACAATTTCATTGGCATGAATAATTTAGCTCACTACATCATTCCTTTAACACGAGCATCAAATATTGTCTCCCACGCATAATTTGCTGTCTTTACATATGTCACTAATGATCTGTCATACCAAGATGACAGTTCAAACCATTTCATCTTAAAACTATGTCATCTTAAGGTCATCTTAAGGACTTGTGAACCTTGGTCCGTATAGTTCTACGTTCTCTGTGTATAATACTGCACAAGATGGGCCACAAGCAGCACTGAATACGTTATGAACCGTTGAAAGAAAGAAGTACAAATTACAAACAGCAACTGGTAAATGAATTGCATCTCTGACTGTTTATAACATGGAGCATCACCTGAAAGAAGTAGCAGGGTAAAAAGGGGAATAATTTTGTAGCTTTAATTTTGATGGACAAACATATTTGTTTAAGCTTTCATAATATTGAATTTCCACAACCACGGAGAGAACTCAGATAACAGGAGCATAAATATTCATAATTCAATTTCGTTGTGGTGTTTCATTTTTTCACCGAATGATTAATGTAAGTGATGAAATTCCAACAAGAGCAACTCTACATCTGGCTCAGTAAGGGGTTTGTTTTTATTAATTGATTTCAACAAACTAATCCAGAAATGCAGTCTAAAATCTTATTTTTTATACCAATAACTATTATGATCTTGAAAACACCTGTATGTTTTGAAAGCAGAATCGTGTCAAATTTGAGGTTTTGTGTTCTTTCTTTACGTATAACGTTTTCCTAACTGTATGTTTGTATATATAACATTTGCTTGGACATTTGTGCATCTTGAACAGAAAATTAATGTTAAAAGCATTGTAGAAACAAAATCGTGAAACAACTGGGGCAAGTTGTCTGTGTTAAGGTTTGGCATTATATTGTCACGGTTGAGCAGTTATTTACCGTGTATCACAAATTTAAACAAAGCTTAGATTAGAATGTGTTTGTTGAAATCACTATAATGTTGTTTTCTACGTCGTCGTCTTCATTTAGTTCTTTTTTTGTAATGAGTAAGAATTATATTTGTAATGAAGATCACCATTTTGCCTTGAACCAGTTTTTATTATACTGACACATTTGTAATTGTTGGCAATCATAACGTGAATCATAAATCTCAACAATGTTTCTATTTTTAAATGAACTTCCACATGGTCTACACTGAATAGGGCACAACGAGATTGAAACTTT